GGTGCTCTCGCCTTCCCTGGAAATCTTCAAGAGGAGACTGAATAGGCACTGGCTAGGGTCTTATGACCCCTCCCAACCCCAGGACTCCTTCCTGCCCATGGCAGGGGGTTAGACTACATGATCTGTCTAGGTCCCTTCCGACTCATTGATTCTATGATTCTATGACTAGACCAATGATTTTCCTACACACTGTGCAGTTCTCTATAGCCATTTAGTCTCAGTGTCCTGACTCAGAGATCAAAGTCCTGCAGTCCTCCTGGAAATTATTACTTAAGGTATAGGTCATTACAGATTTGGCTACTTCTCCTTTGCTCCCCATCCAGTGACGATCTCTTTGCTTTTTTGGCTTCTGTAAGTAAGAACTTTGCTAAGAGTAAAAGTTTTGCACCCTGTGCTAAGAGCAAGGGTTTTGCATGCTGATTCCATAGGAGGACAGTAAAGCAGCACACAGCCTGCTGCTTTGTGAGTGTGACCAAGCCATGAACCGAGATAGTAAAATGTTGTGATACAGTAGAATGTGGCAAACATCAAGTGCATTAAATCATGACTCATCCCCATTTTCCTATCTTGAGATAGCGTTGTTTACTTCAGACTATTTTATGTGTATATTCTTGAGTTGCTATGAGTTCATCCACTCTGGCAAAAGTCCTGACTTGCACGGAGTCCCAGCACAGGCTATCACATCCCTGAGATCAAGATACTCTGGGGCCAGGGGAACCATGCAGGGCAGCAGCTGCTGCCTAAAACTGATGTGAAGTGACTGTCCTCTCTGCTCTGTTCTATCACCTGCTTCTGCGAGTATCCTTAAATAAAGCTTTGCAAGAGTGAAAACAACCGTGAGTACGTCCATTGTTCAAGCGTGGGGAATCTGCTGAACCCAAGAGTTCACTCTAAGACAGCTTCTATGCTTTGTGTGATACTCAGCTACTGTTCTTTACCCAGCTGAGTACATTTACTTGGTGGCTAACCACACCTAAGGCCCTCTCTGCTTATTGAGACCCTGTCTCCCAACTGCTGTTTTCTTTGTTCTGCCCACCATGGCTGTCTCTCCGAAATAGTATCTGATAATTTCTGTTCTGTAAGTCCCATGTGTCATATATTGATTAAGATAGCCCTGTTGTATCCCAAGAGATCTAGAAGAAGTGGACACTTCAGAAATGGGAGAAGAGACTAGAAAAGCTTAGATCTTTCTGACTGCAATTGAAAACACAGATTTTCCAAATAAGCATTTTTTTTTTTTGGACAGAACATCCCTAGTGTTTGTTATATATTTATTGTATTTCTGAAATAATAGTTAAAAACCAATGAAGAATATTTTATAAATCCCAGTTTTGACACACTTAGTCAGAAAAGCAAGGAATTGGGTTGATGAAGAATAGACCTTGTTTTATGATAAGAAAATTCATATTAAGAAAATCCTGACATAAAAACTTCATCTTTGCTTTTGTACACCCAGGGTGCACCTACACATTGCCCTATGGTGACATAGCAATACGCTACATTGCCATATGGTGCACTACGGTGACATAGTGATCATGCTGATCTACACGTGATTCCCTGCTATGTTGCCCTAGTGGTGACATAGGGGGGAAATTTAAGCGTGCACCAGCCGTATGGCACAGTATCCACCCATACTGCACTGTGCTTTAATACTTCCAAAAGGAAATAACTAAAGCATGGCACCTTAGCAATGTCACCATATGGTGACATGTAGATTCAAAAGAATCCACATTACTTTAACCCTAGGTTATCCGAGCTTTGTTTTGCTGTAATGATGGATAAGGATGTGATTATTTGTGACAATATGAATTTATTGTGGATTTTTAATATAACAATATCGTCAGAGAAGAAGTGACAAGAAACTTAATAGGCTTTCAGATCACAGAACAAAGTATAATCTATGTTTAAAGCTAGAAGCTAGAAAGTTTAATGCTAGGAGAGATTAATGTATCCAGGTGTTTTTAAGAAAGTTTTTATTATCTTATGCATAGATTGAGATTATGAAAACAGATATGACAAATGCTCCATTTTAAGCAGGAGTGAGTTTTAAGTATCCTTTCCCATGTACTGACATTAGGTTTCTAGGTGTCTAACCCTGCACATTGTTGGAAATGAGCCTGAGACAAGGCAGATTGTATATTAAAAGGAAAACAGTAAAAACATCCAATTAAATACTACCAGGAAAAAACCCTCCTTTATCAGTTGAAGAATTTGTAATTGTTCTGGGCCTGCCCATGATATGAGTTCTTCATGGGGGATCTGCCCAGAATTAAGCTTTTTATCAGGAGCTCCTCAGGGATGTTTATTGTATCTTCCCTATAGGGTGGATCAAGCAGTTCCAATCAGAAAACCTTGAAACAAATGCAACACAGTGAAAAATGAAGATTTTGTTGGCAGCAAAAAAAATCCCCACAAGGGGAAGCATTGGTAAATAATGAACAGTTGTACATCATCTCTGAAGTGAATCATGTCCAGCTTTCCTCATCTAGAAGAATGGTGGCCAGATGAAAGGCTTCCAAGTGAACTGAGAGAAGGGAAGAAAAATGGTGGGATTCTTAGAGCTCTAATAAAGATTTTTTGAGGACAGGATGGATTACTGGAACAGCTTGGTGTTTATATCTGAAATTAAAACCTTAGATTGCACACTGTGAAAGTTTGTGAGTGTTGCATACAGTAATACTCATACATTATCAGAATTTTAGGAATCCCTCACAGGCTTTATTTAAAAATGTTTTGGTAAGCCTCGTTTTGCTGTTTGCTATTGTTAGTTATACTCTGGTTGGGCCTAAAGGCCCAAATTGCAATATCTATGTTGTGTTTTGCAAACCTCTATTCCTCTGGGAATTACATTTTAAATAATGTGTTAGTATTTGTAATGATTTAACATTGTAACTTTCTCTGGTATAAAAATAAGTGACCCTAAAATATTAGACATCAGTAGGTTCTACTGACTATGGACACCTTTAACAAGTATATGACACTCAAAACACTGGAGTGTGGATTTTTATTAACTGTAAAGATGAGAAAATTAATGGTTATATTAACTCCTGTGAGAATGAATGTCTGTATTAGGAAGTTCCTTCTTTCATACAGGATACAAGAGGCAGTTCCAAATCCTTTATTGCACTTTTTGTAAACATTTTGTAAATGCCATTGTCCAACATACATCTCTTCTCCCCAAATTTCAACACAACTTCTGAATTAAGTTCCAATGTCTCAACCCAACCTTCAAGCACTGCACAAGTTTGATTCTGCCTACAGCTTTGTTTTTATTCCTTCTGACAGCCCAGAAGTCACAAATTCAAGCCTATAACAGAAGCACTCACAACATGGCCCTATCAGATTCCAACGAATCTGCAAATTGTTCTAAATGCCTTGTCACACAAGGACATGAAAAAGGAAAGGGCTGTTCTGGTTCCCAAGTAAAAGCTATATCTTATATCTAAGTTTCCTCGTATCTTCCGTTTAAACCTGAAATTCTTTCCACATGCCAATGTTTTACTTTCTCTTCATTCAGACAGCTCCTTAATACTTGATCCTTCTGTGAGATTCACAGATCCTAATCATACGTATGAAAATTTATTACTAGACCATGATAAAATAGAACAGGTTCTTAAAACTGTTTCCTAACATCCTGTGAGACTTGCAAAGTGTTTGGTTGCTCAGTCTTCCTCACTGGTGATGTGTACGGGGTGCACTCCCTGCAAAAAGCACCGCCAATGCTTCCGGTGGTGCCTGCCGGCTGTTGCCACTCACCACCCCCAGCCCCCCCCCGGCGCTGACACTGCTGTGGCTGCCTGTGGGAGCTCCCTGCTCGTCACCGCCACACCCCCACCACTGATCCCTGTGGGCAGTCGCCATGCCCCCCCAGCCTCCGGGGGCACCTGTCATTCATGGTCTTCCTCTTGTTACATTTAAACTTTTCAGAACTTGGAACTCCTTAGTGCTTTGCACTGTGGCTTAAATGTTTGGTGTTTCATGGATGATAATAACCAGTGCATTTTGCTTAGCTGAATGCCTCCTGTAGCTCCAATATAAAAAGGTATTCTTTTTCTAACTTGAGCAGTTGATTAAATACTTGATGTGCTTCACCCCATATATAGCCACATTTTAATGATGGGCAAAATGAACCCTTTGTATTGTCTATAAAGAATATATTTCCATTTCTGAAAATACTTTGCAATGAAAGGATCTATATGATTTCAAGATAAGTATCTAAGGCCAGGTCCTATTCCACCTATTAGTAGTTAAGTGGGATCTGACAATACCCTCTGAAGTACCAGGAAGAAAAATATTGTTACAAAGGTGGGTGTATCTCCTCATCCTCAGTGCTTTTTAAAAGGCTAACCTGAACACGAAGGTGACATCTTTTTACAAAAGGAGATGTGTTAGTGAATTTTGGGGTGAAATAGGACTGCACTTAGGCACCTAATAGGTGGACTAGGTTTTGATCCCTAGTGTTTTAGTGAATTTTTAAAAGTAAACTGTAGCTGTATTAAATAACTAAGGTGAGCCCTTCATAATTCAAAGCAATATGTACTCTGTATAATATGGCAGCAAATAACTGGGTACCCAGAGGATACTTAAGTACAGAACTAATTTGGTAAGCTTCCAACTGGAAATTGGAATAAGTTAAAGTAATTTCTCTCAGGAATGATGTGAGTACTAAGTAAGGGAGCTCCTCTTGCTATGCTGGATCAAGCAGGTAAAAATTAGGGGCTCTTGAATTTCTTTCATTGTAGAATGTTCTTTTCTTTTGTTTGAGGCAAAACAAACTTATAACAGCAGTGAATGTCTCTTTAAAAGAAACATATTTTCACTGCTTGTCAAAATCATTTTACATAATATACATATAAACTTGAATCAAACCTTGATATAATGAAGTGTAAAATGGCACGTTCAGATAGCAAAGAAAAAAATCACACACCCCTGATCAGGTCGCAGGAAGTGTGCAAATAAATAAATAAATAAGCATATTTGTAACTTTTGCAATTATAACTCATGCCCAAAATAATTACTGCTCAATTACTTTCATTTCATTTTTGACTACAAGAAATTAAATATTACTTAAAACAATATAGCCATGTAGCTATATAAGAGTTCGTGGCTGATTCCAACATGTTGTTATGAGTAATAGGTTTTTGAATGGATTACCAAGGAATGTAGTCATGCTATGCAGGCACTGAGAACCACTGATAATTAGTCCACAGCTAGGAGATACCTGGATGCATATTCATGAGCTTTAATTAAAAAATGTTAGAATTAGTTCCCAGTCTTTATTCAGACTGACTGCTTGTATTTAAAGCTGTTTTGAGAGAAACATAAAACGCTATTGTCTGGGTAAGATGATTAAGTAGCTTTTTATGTTTAGAATGTTCATGCATGACTTTCACATCCATATGTATAAGTTTAATACGTTTCCTCCTGTCATTTTAATACATTATAGAGCTGAACAAAACTCAATAAAACACGGGCTTCATAGTTCGTTTGTCAGCATCAACTAAGCTTTGCACAGGTGACTTTAGCTATTTTACCTGACTGTGGTCCTTATTTTACGTTTCTTCAGTCAAGCTACCTCCTATTGTTTTACTTGAGTAGGCCAAAAACTGTTGTGACACCCTCAGTCTGAAACTCATGTATGTCTGAAAATTCAATAACTGCTATTATTATAGCACCTAATGGTCTAAATCAGTTTCTTCTGAGGCATACCTGGACAGTCCCATCTGCTCAGGTTTTTTTTTTAATGAAGTACCATCCTCCCTCTCTATCTTTCCCAGATATGCCAGAAAGCACTGTGTGGATTTAAGGTCTATATAAAGAGAAGTGGAAGAATGAGTAGGTGAGTGTGAGCCAGGCCATGTAACAGTGGGGGCAAGGAAACTTGCCATCACTCCCTTAGTGGCCTTGAAGACCTTTGTTGACATCAAACTGACTTACCTTTTTTCAGTATATACTTGCCCCTAGAAATGCTGGAGTTAGCCATATCATTGGACTTCATTGCAGCCAAACATCCAGGGTTCTTAGAATGGAGGGGAACAGCCAGAAACGCAAGTTGGTGCTTGCTTCCCGTGTGACTACTGGGTTAAAAGAGGGCCCGGTAAGAATATGTGTTTCTTTAAAACTGCTGCATGAATTCAGAGAGAAAGGCAATAGGGAAAGTGGTAGGTAAAAGTTCTGTAATGAAGTAGAGTTGGGGAGAGAGAGAGATAGTAGCGTTAGAGAATATAACATATTCTAAAATAATAATGTTATGTGTAAAACCCATTAGAACCTACCAGCAATTGTTTTGTTGAATAATATATTAGTTGCTTTCTATTACATGTAGTATGAAAAGCAAAACAGTTATGCTGAAGATTTTGAGCGCATAAAACTTACTGATTGGTTAGCACAGCTTCCTCCATTCTCCATGCCAAACAGATCCTGTAGCACAAATTGCCTACATATTTTAATGCTTTCAGGTCAGTAAAGGAGAATATTGTGGTGAACCCCATTGCAAGTATTTTAATATCTAGGCAGAACATTTGTTTTGTTCTTCTGTGAAAAGTGGAATTTTGATTTTTTTGCTCAGCAAATAAAAATGACAGATAGATATTTTTCATCTACTGCAGTGTATTATGGCATGAACAGCTTTTAAAAGAATGGGTAAAATTCATCTAAGTGTCTTTTCCATGCAGAGCTGGAGAAGGACACATATCTTATGTGACAGGTGCATGGTGGAGTGATATAGTCTCCATGGGATGGTTGTAATTTCACCACTAGTATTAAGTCCCCACTTCACTGAAATAAAAAGGATTTTTGCTCTTATCTTGGTAGTCCAAACCTGTGGTGAAAGCTAGCATTTACCATGGATGCCCTTACCATGGATTTTCAGCAATTCTATATAGATAAAAGCCTTAGTCTGTCTGTCCATAACACTTTATTCACACTCTAATTGGTTGTCTCGGCAGCCAATCAGAGTGCTCCATGAGCATTCAAACAGGAGGCAGCAGCAGCGCAGTGGAACACCATCATGACAGCAGGGACAGAGGGGATGGACATAGAGACGGTGGCAGTGTGGGATGCTGGTGGCGCAATGCTGGTCTTGCCTCCCCCCCACTCCGCTCTGGTGCATGGGGCTGGATGCAGGGGATCGAGGAGGGAGGGGCGCACAGGGCTGGAGGCAGAGAGGCGGCACCGCAGGGTGCTGGATGGCGGTGCTCCATCCCCACCTGCCCTCTCCATCTGTCATGATGGGGGATGGCTTGGGATGGTGGAGTGCTGCCATGACTGCAGGGACAGAGGGGATGGAACGGATTCACCCCCCACCCTGGACCTGTTCCTTGGAGGCGGCAGTGTGGGGTGCTGGAGGTACAGCACTGGCCTCACTGCTACTGGGTCTCAACAAAAGTGAGCGGGGGGGAGGGAGGGAAGTGGGAAGGGGAGTGGAGGGCACAGTAGCAGAGCCCTCAGTACAGCCGGGAGGGAAGTGGGGAGGAGGGGGTTGCATGCAGCTGAACACTCAGAGGCAGCTGAGCAGGGTGCTGGGTGGCAACTGTAGCCACTACATGCAAGCTTTCCCTGCTTCCCTGTGCCTGGGAGGTGGCACCACAGGTTGGAGTGGTGGTGGTGGGGCAGATGGAGCTGAACAGGGGGGCGCACGGGAACAGCGGCAGCAGCAAGGGCCTGTGGGTGGTGGTACTCCGTCCCTGCCTGCCCCCTCACCCCAAGTCATTCTTGACGGTTGATTACCTAGTGTATAGATAAAGGTTATACAAGTCATCTGCACTGGAACAAATTTTACACAATGAGGAGTACTTATTATGAGGGATATAATTTTTGGGGGGAACTGTTGTCTGTGTTTATATTTAAAATACCTGCAACCATATGCACTAGTGGCCTCTAAACATGGTCTTGACCCCTGTCTGTTTCAGTCTGGTGTCAAGACCTGCCTATTTAGCCTTTTCCTCTGCTCCTAGAACCCTACTCTGAAGATTTTTCTCACCACAAAGGCCTGCTAACTTGTTTTTCTTTATCCAAGCTCTACTGTAATGTGGATACTTTAACCACAATTTATTGTAGGAACTGGAAAAATATAACAACAAAAACATATGGTCAATGAACCAAAATGTTTACAGACTCTTTTCTTTCCCTTGCTGCATTTCCTGGATCATTTCACCATCCCTAGAAACACCTGTAGTTTTCCATACTCCCAACATGTCTCTCCCTGACCCTAGAACTACTCTTTGCTACTGTCAGCCTACTTCTTGCCACTCATAAACAAAACATGACCGAGCAAAATACAGGTATCTTGAAAATATTTCATTAAGTACACTTATTTCAACTACATGTATATCCTTCTCAGATGGATTTTAAAAACAAATCCTTATCAAATCAAAAGGATTTTTATATGCATATACATGGAATAATAAATGAGCATTCTCAATGTCCTCCAGGTTGCTACTGACTTAGCTGACAGTCTCCTCTATAGATCTTACCTAAAGACACTCCCAGATAGGGTCAGCATGAGCCTCTTACTCTCACTGAATAATTCATTACTGCATTTTCAATGTAAAGCAGAATTTTGTGTTACTGGCCACAAACAGGACCTCATCTATCTTCCTTTGACTACAGTGAGAGATGGATATGGTTGTTAATGCATGTAAACTTTATGTTTAGCCTCTGTATTGTGTCTAAACAAACAGGCCAATAAAAATAACAATTTGGTACACACTGGTTAACAGCAACCCAGTAGCTCTTGTCTGTATCCTTAAGGAGTATCTTCTGTTTGGCTGCCAAGCTATCTTATATACTACTGGGAACTCAGGTAAATTTAAAATTCTGCCAACAAATTAGAGGAAAGGTTACGTTGATTTTCCTTCTTTCCCACTTCTCTGGGCAGTGTTAAATCATCTTTACTAGAGAGAGAACATCCATTTGACTATGAGCTATTTTTTTTCTCCTTTGGAATGAAAATAATTGTACAAACTTAAAGAAGGTATTCTAAAAAATGTTGGAAGAACTCAGAAAAGTCTTCTCTCCACTCACATTTCAAATCACAGGCCACATCTCCATGAGCAGGTATGTGTACTTTCCAGCACCTAAAAGGCTTTTGAGATACCATAAAACACACATGGCACATGTGAAAAGATTCTCTTCACTCCATATTTGCAGCACAGGCTCAAAATTAGATACCAGGAAATCCCCGTATCTAAAAAAACCCCAAAAAACCCAAATGCTGGCAGCATGTACCACCCAAAGCTGGAGCCTAGCTGCCAGTCAGGCTCTGTACACCTTGATCACTGCCACTGCAGGCCCAACAGGCCCCCCAGGACTTCAGGTAGGCTACTGTAGCCAGCTCAGTTGCTGACCCCAGCCTCCCCTACTCTACCGGGGTAACTTGGTGTGTGCTACAGTGCACATGCAGGGGCATTGCTTGGGGACAAGTAGCAATGGCACAACTATGTGCTGCTGCTATTTGTCTCCAGGGAAACGCATGTGTGGGCTTGTACAGACACACCCACAGGGGCTAAATGGTATGCCACCCTTGCAATATGTATTTTATTGCCACTGTGATGTAGTAAAGGAATAGTATTTTTGTTCAGGAGTTAGCTTTGTTCCCTGGATGGACTCCTGTCAAAGGTTTCTGTTCTTACACTAAATCATTCACCTGTGGCTCCACATAGTAATTTGTGCCTGGTGATGGCCACACCCTTGGCACTTACATTGCAGACCATGCAGGTAGAGGAAAACTTCTTGATAAGCATCCTTGGTTTATGGTAGGACACACTGATTTTACCCATGGCAGATTCACTGGATATCTAAATTCTCTGGACAGCAGAGCTTGCTGGTTAGATTAAGTGTGTGGTTAGATCCAGTGATGGTTTTGGAGCCAATAGATAATATAGGTCATCCACTGTAGCCAGTCTCATCTCCAGCTGTCTTGACTGTTCTGCCAGTAGGTCTTGGCAAGGGAGGCTGAAAGTAAAGTTAGCTAGGCTAAATTTTTGTCATTGTAATCAGATATATACATTGATACCTTCTGCATAATTTTGAAGTCCTGTGGACGTGGTGAATAATAAAGATGCAGTTGTGGTACAGTGGGCACTATAGCTGTGAACTTATAGAAAGGCACATCTAGGTATAAAGGCTGGAGCACGTCACTCCGCCATGAGATGAAACAGTCATCTCTGTCTAGTTTTGCAATTAGATTAGCACCCATAGGCCCCAGTTATTAGGCCTGTGAGAAGCAGCTAGTATTCACTGTGGATTCAGGTTCAACCGATTCGGTGATTTGAATCACTGTCTCAAATTGATTCAGCTGAATCTGATTTGGAGATTTGGATGCATCTCCAAATCAAATAGGCCCCATCCCCTGCTGGTTCTCCTAGCCCTGTCAATAGCTGCCCCTCCCAGCCTCAGCCTCCAGGCTCTTTTAAAAAAAAAAAAGCCTGGCACTCACCAGATGCTGCCAGGTGAGGTCCGAATCCCACTGCCCCCCACTGCTCTATGCTGCATGGGGGGTTCTGTCACGAGCCCCCATCTCCACCCACTCTCCCAGCCCGTGTCCCGGCTCTTTAAAAGTAAATAAATAAATAAAGCCCCCATTCACCGGCTGCTGGCAGGTGGGGAGCCATCCCCGCTGCCCCCCACTGCTCTGCACTGTGTGGGGGCTCTGCTACAAGCCCCCAGCCCCCTCCGCCTAATGGCTCCTCCACCCAGGCCCAGTGTTGGCTCTTCAAAAAAAAAAAAAGTTCTGCACTCTCTGGCTTCTGCCAGGTTGCGGGGGTGGGGGGGAGGGGACCTACCCCCAACTGTCCCATGCTGTGTGGACAGCCACGCTTCCCCAGTTCGCTTCAACTTCTGTTTCAATGTTTTGAACGAATAGCGTTTCATTTCGAGTTCAGTCTCATTTTGAAAGCACTGTTCCATTTCACTTTCATTGAAACACTTTCACTGTTTCGACTCTGCTTCGAGTTTTGCCTACACCCCAGAGAAGTCTGACAGAACCCTCCTGGGGGTGCAGGCAGGAGGCTGCTGTTGCTGCTGCCTGGGACCAGCACTGGGAGCTGAACCTGGTGGAGGGAGGCAGCACGCAGTCACAGCACTGCACTCCATTTTCCCCAACCAGGATCAACACCCAGTGGCTTGCTGCCCAGTGGAGAGAGGCAGCACACACCGCCGGCACTGTGCACCACCTCCCTCCACCAAGCTTAGAGCCCAGCAACTTGCTGCCCGGTGGAGGGAGGCAGCGTGCAGCCCTGGCACTGTGCTCTGCCTGCCTCCACCAGGCTCAGCTCCCAGCATCTCTTAGCCCTGTGGTGGGAGTTGGTGCTCTGTGCCAACTCTGTCCACCTCCCGCCACCAGGATGGGCTCCATGGGGCTGGTGGAGCTGATAAGAGCGTGGCCCAGTGTCGGGAGGCAGGGTAGAGCCAGGGCTACGCTCCCCACCGGGCTAAGACACATATGCTCCCCACTCCCTCTCACCACCTGGCTGCTGCTTCGAAACTTGAAACATTTCAAAACTTTTGAAATGCTGGCCTTGTTTTGTTTTGAGGCTGTTTTGAAGCCCTTTGTTTCATTTCGATTTTGCTGTTTTAAGCTCGAAATGAGTCAAAACAGCATCAAAACGAAACAGCTGGCGAAATTTTGGACAGCCTTACTCTTTACCAAGGCCTACTGATGCTGTAGCAGGTTGAAGCCAGGTGGGCAGACTGTAGATTCTATAAGGAACTTATTTGGTGGTAATGTCAGCCTCCATTCTGCACATCAAAGGATCTCTGTCGTGTGGTCCTGGTGTGGCAGTTTGGACCACAGTGGGTGTTGTGATGGCAGATACGCAGCAGGTGGATTTAAGAGATCTTCCTACACTGGCAGGCTCAGGTTGGCATAGATCTTCTCCAGTAGCTTGCTAGCTGCTATCAGTGCTATCAGCATAGAAGAGACAAACCCATATTCTTTAGTCTTTAAGAAGAATCCATTTAGTTATGCCAGTTTGCACAGTAGAGTTAAGAGTATGCTGAGCAATTCCATTATAAAACAAAGTTTATAATTCTAACATAGCATTTCTCTCAGGGCTAATCAGTGCCTGAAAAAGTTTCTTTCAAACATAAAAATAATATATTTGGCCTCTATTTATAAATTTTAAAATTGCAAATGAGAGAAAAAGGAGGAATTTTCAGAGATGTATTTTGAAGTTAGGTACTCAGTTCTCATTAAAAATCAGTGTAAGGTATATTCAAATGCCCATTGTATCTTCAGAAATCTCCTCATTAAAAACAAAACAAGAAAGAAGTAAAAATCTTTTTTCCTAATTCATATTAAAATGCAAATGTCAAAATACAGAATGAAAAAGAAATTGTTCATTTTGGATCATTTTTCTTTGTTCATCTTACTTTTTCCATTTCCACCTTTTAAACTTAAGCTTGGCTTTGGAATATGTAAGCTCTTCTGATGCTTTAAAATTTTAAAAGGACATGTTATTAACATTTGAAAATTATCTTCTGTAACTTTTCTTCCTAGCATTTTACACATACCCATATTGACATTTTAACAGCTTCCTGCTGTGATAAATTGTAAAGACCATCTGCCCACGATCACTTGTTGGTTGTAAAATACTGTAATATATGTTTTTAAATTGGCCAAAATAATCTTTACATGATAGATTTGTCCACTGTCTCAGCTCTTATATACATTTCTTCTAAATTTTGCTGTCTTTTAATTAATAAAATTAAGTAAAAAAATAAGGCAAATAAAACAAAATGTCTCAGTCACTGAAGTGTGAAATATGACTAATATGCAAAATGATAAGGTTTCCATCACATCATCATATTATATTGTATGAAACATGTCTCAGGGCACTAAGAGATGCCTGCTCCTTTCCGGGCCAGGAGCAGCCTAGCCAGGGGGCTCTGCAGGCTAGGCAGTGCATCACAGCTGTGGGTTACCTGAGCAACAGGCTAATGATGTAATTGGCCAGCACCTGCAGATAGTCAGCTGACTAGAAGGAGGCAAAGGCCTAAGCACATATAATCCCAGGGCTGGGGCTGGTGGGAGTTAGTTCTCTGGCAAATCAGGGGAAG